TAGAATGCTTATCTTATGGTTAAACAAAATATGTGAAAGACCATGGAGGTATAATGACCTCTTTAACAAGTTTTACAACTTATATGACAGGTTAAGAAAATCTTTTTTATTCATGTTCTTAATAAAGCTAATCATTTTATTGATTATCTTGCTAAGTTTGGTGTCTTTCGAAACACTGACTTAGTAGCTTGGATTTGGCTTTGTATATCTCATTTTCTAATAATAAATCCTTTCAAATTAAAAAAATAACTACAAATTACAATCATAATAAAGTATTGTATTATACAGAATAAATCACTAAATAATCAAATAAACAAATTAACCAACAAACCAGAATATAACGAGACAACTCCAACATAAACTTGAATCAAATTCACACATAGTGGAACTTAAACCTAAAACATCAAGGTTGTAGGGCATCCTCCATGTCACTAAGTCAAAGTTTTATTCGTATTTTTAGTAATTAATTAAACTTAAATAAACTTATTAATATTTATTTTTAAAGACCTTACTACTTTTAATTTTACTTGTAATGATATGATTGATTGATAGTGTATAACCATATGATTAATTGATAATATATATTATCAGTGCATCAAATATTAACTTATAAAAGAGTATAAATTAAGTAAATCACACATATAGAGATTGTTTTCTCCCATTCACTCAACCTAAGAAAAGGACGATGACAATATTTTGAAATACATATATATATAAGGGATCTATTAATATGAGGGATCTATTTACATTAGTATAAATTTTACACTTTTTTATTTTTAGAATAAAATGGCTAAAATTATAAATATTTTTTTATCTAAATTGTAGATACCTACTTTTGTTCGAGCATGTTTTGATCAATTGTGATGCTTTAAAAATTGAGACTCAGGTCTTTTCCAAGATTTTCTTAGGCTTTATGAAAGTTTCATAATTTTTGAATAAGTTGATTCTAAAGTGGATGCATGAAAAGTAGCAAAAATAAAGGAAAAAAAATCAAAAGTTAATCTAAAAGCCAACTTAGTCAAACTTGTTTGAATTTGACCAAATTTGGTCAAAATAGGGTCAAATCTAGGTCATTTTGGAAAAAATCAAACCAAGTTATTGGCTATTTTAACATTTTAAAGCAAAATTTGAGTTTTAAGCTAAAATGTGCATATTGACCAAAATACCCTTCATATAGGCCAAGTCAAAGTTCATCAAAATTTAACAACGCTAACCAAATTTTGTCAAAGTATAATATTTAGAAAGAAAATCCTAGAAAAAACTAAATTTTAAGCTAAAATAACCATAATAAATACCCTTTGGTCAAACTTGGTCAAACATGGCCAAACTCTATTCAACACTTGGAATTCATGATTGACTAGGATTATTAAGGCTTAACATTGATAAAATTGTGATTTGGGCCATTAAAAATCATGTTAGAGCTAAAAAAGTGTAGAGAAAGTACAAACATGTCTTTTAAGAGTATTTTCATAATTTAGTCTTCCAATAGTCGATTTCTAGGGAAATACTTTATATCATGATTAGGTATTATTTTATGAATTTTAGTTCAATAAAATAAAAAAATCATCATTAAATCATGAAATCAAGAGAAAAACATGAAAAGGCTTTTAATCACTGATAAAGGCAAGATGGGCTTTTCTCATCATATGGCTAACATAGTTACACTAGTAGCTAGAATGTATGCTATAATTTTTTAGAGCCATTAGATTTGAAGGTGTAATGATCCTGTAGCCTATATTGTATTACTTGGTCACCAGATTTGTAAGAAAAAGATAAAATAATAAATACCCTTAGATTAATTTGATCCAAATGGCTATTAAAAGCGCTTTAGACCTTTAAATGAAACATTTGAGGGTTGCAATAAGGATTGGCAACAAGATGAAGTGGCAGCAATCACCAAAAATAGAGAGAAAAAATCCAAAAAATGGGAAAAGTTTGGAAGGTATCCATTTTTCTTTTTTTCATTCATTTCCTATGCAAGCTTCATTTCTATGCATTTAGTTCCTTCTTATCTTGATGTTTTTTAAAGGAGGGATAACCTCTTCCATGGTTGTTCTTTTCTACTTTGTCTTGATTCAATATTTCATCCCACTAAACTAATGTTATGGGTTTTAAAAAACAAAAAGAATAAAAAAATGAAACCTAAATGAAGAGCTCTCAGCCTAAAAGGTTCCATGCCTAGGCCAAAGCTTTTTTTTCCTCTTTTCATGTCTTTCTTGCTTTTTTTTTTTTAATTATTGTGGTATGTTTGAGATATTGAAGTTTTACATTTATATGCTTTCTTGCATTTTGATGCCTTGTGTTTGTTATTTTGACACTAAAATGTTATTAAATACTTTCATTCTTAGTAGTTCCTTATGTGTTTGATAAAAATTTTTTGACAATAAAAATAGTTTTCTAAACATGTTTTCTAAATATTTGATGCATTTCCTAGCAAGTGATCAAAGTTCGTTGATGTCAAAAGCCAAAGGAAGCTCTTAACCTAGCCTTCCTATGGCCTGGCTGAGGCTTCCACTCTTCTATTTATGGTTATATTGTGATGTTATATGTGTTTCTGCTTTGGTTCTTGATAAAATTCAATGTTTTCCAAGTGTTTGATGGAAGTTTTCAAAATAAAAAAATAGTGTTGTAGGAATTTTATAAGTGTTTGATGAATAAAAATGGGCTTCTATTATGTTTTTCAAATGTTTGTAATGAGTCATAATAATAGGTACATCGTTCTTGATGAATGGCCAACACAAATATCCCTAGTAAGGCCATAGGATGATTCGGCCAAAGCAATTTTTCATGCTTGGGTTAAACCCCAAACCTTAAACCCTAGGTCAAACTTTAAACCTAAAGTCAAATTCTAAACTTTGGTCAAACTTTAAACCCTAGGTCATACCTTAAACCTTAGTCAAATCCTAAAACCAAAAGTCAAATGTTAAATGTAGCTCAAACCCTAAATTCTACTGAAACCCTAAACTTACTCAAAATCTTAAACCCACCTGACACCTTAAATTCTCTTAAAACCTTAAATTTACTCAAAACCCCAAACCTACCTAAAACCCTAAATTTCCCCAAAACCATATACCTATTTCAAACTCTAAACTTCTTTTGGAACCCTAAACTAACCTTTTTTAGCCTTAAAACTTCCCATAAATTTCAAAGAAGTTACTTGTTAAATCTTAGATGAAATGATTTGTTCCTAAATGTTGCCTAAATGATGGGTTATATTTGAAATTTTATTTCATCTAATATTTTCATAAGATTCCTAAATGATTTTCTAGAATGCAACACTTTTTTGCTATAAAAATAAAACGAGTTCTTAAGTAGAGAGAGTCATTCCTAAATTCTATCTAGTGGTTGGAGAATTTGGTGGTTTCTTTACATTTAAGAATTCCATTTCCAAATAAATAATGTTAAATTCATTTCATTAATTATCCATCCTCATGCATGATATCCATTTGCATATATTTATTTTTGAATAATTGCTTGCATTTATTTCATTTGCTTGTTTCATTTTATTATTACTGTTCATTTGCTAATGGTTGCATTCATTAGTTTTGTTGCATAAAATATTTTGAAAAAATAATGTTTAAAAAAAAGGGTTCTGTGAAACAAAATTAACATAACATTCTTAGAAAAATAATTATTTGTACTTTACCTAAATGTTGAACAGTTACTAATAATTATCATCTACAAAGAATGTTATTTTTATTTTAAAAGATTATTATGGTAAATTTTAGACGCAATGAGTTATCCTTAATTTCCACCTAGATGATGGAGAGTGTTAAGGTAATTTTTTAGCTTCGAGATTTTCATTTTATTCTAAACTAGATTTTCTTGTTATCTAATAAAAATTGATTTCCAAAAGTCAAGGGAGTTATTATTAAATATTAAATTGATACCATTTTTATTTAATACTGAAATGATACTGTATGATTAATTGATACTATTTTTAAAATAGACGCTATGAGGGAGTGAATTTTTCTTTGCCTGTAATTATATTTTTGAACCCAATTTTATTTTTAAATATAAAATTGTTTAGTTTGATAAATCTTAAACTAATTTTAGAATTTTATTAAAAAAATAAACCTTTTAAGTGATTAATTGTACTTAAAAAAAATATTGATAATGATTTTTTGTTTTAATTTTAAAATTTATCTAAACAATCAAATTCTCAAACTCACACATTATAACATAAATTAATCATGAACTTAATTTCACACACATAGAGATTGCTCTCTCTCCTCTGAATCACCTTTAAAAAGACGGTGATAAGAATTTGATATTATTATTTAAAGAAAAATCTACTTTTTAATTTTTTTATTCAATTATAAATTTTTCCTTCAATCATGAAAATTTGACTTTAGTAATTATTTTAGAAAATGAGCGGATCTTAATTGTACTTAATCAAGTATCAGTTTGTTTCGCACCTTCTTGATGATAACTTTGCGAGATTTTTTTCTTTAAAAGAATACTTCAAGATTTTATTGATCAAGAAATGTTTTACTACAAAATAAATATAAGAAGGTAAAAAGGTTATTACGTTGTGCTATATAATTTTGCAATAATTAAAAAAAAAAAGAGTTTTTTCGTCAAAAATGTAAAAAATTAAATATAGATAATCATTTAGTAAAAAAATAATCATTTATCATTGAATTGAATCATATGTTTTTTATGCTAAACTAATTAACCTTTGTTTTAGTAATTAATGAAAGAAAATACCAATTACCAACTAATTAATTAAGGCCCTTTTCATGAGAATTAATAATTTGGATCATCTGAAAGAAATTCAATTATCACCATAGAAAATAAGCTCTAGTTTGATCTAATTATCAACTTGTGAATGAAGCATGCTTGTGATATAGTAATCCTGATCCGTAAAATTAAATAAATATTCTATATTTAAATGACTAAGTTAAGAAACTACACTTGATTCCTAGAAAAAGCAGCAATTAAATATTATCCATTTCTTTGGAGTCTGTCCAACCCATAAGTTTTATTTATTTATTTTTTGTTTTACAGCCGCCTTTATTATCAATTCAACTCCTGAATCATCATCATACATCTCCAACATTATAAATATTCGGAAGATAGCCCATGAAAATTCAAGAAAATCAAAGCAAAGAACCCATTAATATTGACTTGTTAAGATGGAAATAGAAGATGGCTGCTTCAACCAGCTTCCTCCAGGCTTTCAATTTCGCCCTACCGATGAGGAACTCGTTCTTCACTTTCTCTATCCCAGGGCCATGACCTTACCAGCTGGCCATCCCAGCATCATTCCTGAACTTGATATTCATCTGCTTCACCCTTGGGAATTAGATGGTCAGCTATTCTCTCTCTCTCTCTCTCATATATTTGCTGATCTTTCTTAATTGTAAACGTTTTCCTAGCGATAATATGGTTTTATTGACTGAATAGGCAAGGCACTGTTGAGTGGAAACCAGTACTTCTTCTTTAGCCAAATGATGGAAAATCGAACCCGGGAAAATGGTTATTGGAAGCAACTAGATATTGAGGAGCCCATTTTCAGTACTGGTGCAGGCAAGACGGTTGGCGTAAAGAAATTATTTGTATTCTTCATTGGTGAAGCTCCTCTTGGTGTAGAAACAAATTGGTTGATGCAAGAATATCATCTTTGTGATTGGGGCTCAGCTCTTACGTCATACTATAAAAAGAAAGGAAATAAAAAATTTGTAAGTTATAAACTTCTTATTAATTAATTTGTTAACCATTTTGATTATTTGGTAGCATGTTCATGATTATGTTCCTTACTTGGAATTTACCCTCTTTTTTACAAAAGGATTGTAGTAAATGGGTTCTATGTAGAGTTGAAGAGAGTAAGCGCAATGCTCAGAGCTTCAGCTACAACGATGAAGCGGATGGAACTGAACTTTCATGCCTTGATGAAATGTTCTTGTCATTGGATGATGATTGTGATGATATATCTTCCTCCAAATTGTTGGGAATATAAGTAGTTTTGTATCTTGTTTAGTTGTTTCTATATCTTTGGCTAGCTGTAAAATGAATTTAACTGATATATATATATATATATATATATATGCCTAAGGTATCTTTGATTCAGCTTCTTGCCTGCAAAATTGCATGTCAATTGTCATACTTCAAAACTATCCTAATTGATACACAATCAACTACGGTTGAGGGTTTTTATTTGGATAAAAAGCACAATGGGCAGTAGACAAGGGGTTCGCTCTCAAAAAATTTTCATTTAAAAGATAGAAGAATTTTTTACATTGGAAGTTGCTCATTCAAAGGACAGGTCATGAATTGTTAACTAATGCTTGTTGTTTGTCTACTCTTTTGATTGTAGCATTTGTTTTATTAATATTGAGAATAGTGACTAAAATCTCATAACAGATTTGTTTGAAATTGGCTAGATATTGCTTGATGAATAAGAAAACATGCAGAAGAAGAATTCTAAGAAAAAAGAAATTCTCAATAGGCAAGTTTAACTTGCAAAAAAAAAGTTATAAGAGGAAAGAGATTCTTAATAGGCAAGTTTATATACTTATAAATAGGTAAAGTCTACATAGGGTTAAGGATGAAAAAAGATGTAAGAGAGTTGTAAGGTTTTATGGGATAGATAGCCCATAATAGTACTAGAGATTTACGTCTTATGAATGTGTATGTTTGTATGTTTGTGAGAGGACTAGAAGAGACTAAGAGGGTCCACATAGGTATGGTGCACATGAGTGGACTAGAAGAGATTGAAAGGATCTACATAGGTATAGTGCATGGGTGCACATGTGTATGTATTTGTTTGGGTTAAGAATCCATAGGACTAAATGAGATTGAAAGGGTTTATGGGTATTAATTGTTAAGTGAGATTGATTTTATGTATATTTGTAATTCTCTATAACTAGTGGATCTTTTTTCTCATTTGTGGAAATAGGTTGGTTAGGTCGAACCACATTAAATTGTTGTCTTTAGTGTGATTGATCGATTATTTGATTATACTTTCGCTAGCTTGATTGGATAGAGGCTTTTTGCCTAACAAGTGATTTCAGAGCTGTAGTGATCCCTAACAACTGATATCAGAACTGTCATAATCCCCAACAAGTGATATCAGAGCATAGTTCGAGGCATGGAATGAGGCAAGCCCAGACAAGCTCTATTCAAGAGAAAATTTGAGTTCATGTTTTGAGGGTTGAAGATCGATTTACATGAAGTGTGAAGACACACAAGAGAAAATGATTGTGAGACTTCCATTGTAGATGAAATCAAGCATGTCTAGCATTAAGACTAATGATTTATGGAATTTGAGTCAATGTAGAGATTGTTGAGAATAGTAACTAAAATCTCATAATAGAGTCATTTGAAATTAACTAGATATTGCTTGATGAATAAGAAGACTTACAGAAGAAGAATTCTAAGAGAAAATAGACTCTTAATAGGCAAGTTTGACTTTTGAAAGAAGAATTCTAAGAAGAAAGAGATTCTTAATAGGTAAATTTATATGCTTATAAATAGGTGACGTTTTTATAAGGTTAGGTATGAGAAAAAGATGTAAGAGAGTTGTAGGACTTTATAGGATAAAAACCCTATAAGATTACTGTAGATTTACGTTTTATGGTTTTATATGTTTGTATGTTTGTGAGTGGACTAGAAAAGACTGAAAGGGTCCACATAGGTATGGTACATGTGAGTGGACTAGAAGAGATTGAGAGAGTTTATATAGGTATGGTACATGGGTGCACATGGGTATGTATTTGTTTAGGTTAAGAATACTCCATATGACTAGAGGAAATTGAGAGAATATATGGGTATTAATTGTTGAGTAAGATTGATTTGAAGTATGTTTGCAACTCTCTAAAACTAGTGGATCTTTTTTTCATCCGTTGATGTAGGTCAATTGGACACTAGTGAATTTTTTTTCTTATCTATGAATGTAGATCGATTAAGTCGAATCACATTAAATTGCTATCTCTTATGTGATTGATCGATTGTTTAATTATGCTTTGCTTGATTGGATAGAGGCTTTTTGCCTAACAAGTGGTATTAGAGTTATGGTGTTCCCAACAAGTGATATTAGAGCTGTCGTAATCCTCAACAAGTGATATCAGAGCATGATTTGAGGCATAAGGAGAAGCAAGCCCAGAAGAGCTTGATTCAAGAAAAACTTTGAGTTCATGTTTTGAGGATTTAAGATCGGTTTGTATGAAATGTAAAGACACAAAAGAGAAAAATAATTGTAAGACTTCCATTGCAGATGGAGCCAAGCATATCTAGCATGAAAACTAATGATTTATGGAATTTGAGTTAATGTGGATATTGTTAGGAATAGTGACTAAAATTTCATAACAGATTTGTTTGAAATTAGCTAGATATTGTTTAATGAATAAGAATACTTGTAAAAGAAAAAAGATTTTTGATAGGCAAGTATAACTTGCAAAAAAAAAAAATTCTAAGAAGAAAGAGATTCTTAATAGTCAAGTTTGTATGCTTATGAATAAGTGAAATCTCTGGATTTAGGTATGAGAAAGAGATGTAAGAGACACTATAATAAATTTTTCATATATTAACGTTTGGTTATACTGATGGTCAAATTGCATCAGTAAAAGAGATTTATATTGATGGTTTTTTAATACTGTCAAAATATACCATGCATTTTTCAACACTTTATACAATCATCGATATAGATAAACTTTTTCTAACGGTTTATAACTATCTGTCATATAAGTATGATATAAATAAACATTTATCTATGCTGACGGTCAAATTATGTAAGTAAAAACTATATATACTAATGGATTTTTGTTACTATCAGTATAGAAAGTGTCCATACTAACACTTTGTATAACTATTGGTATAGGTAAACTTCTTCTGACGGTATATAAATATCTGTAAGTATAAATATGTTATGTACTAACAATTATAATAACCATCAATATAAGCTCAAAAAAATATTTATTCCTAATTTCTTTTTTAAAAAATATTAATTCATAATATTTCCCTCTAATAAAAATTTTCAAAAACTATAATTTTATAAAACTATAATTATTAATAAATAAAACTTGTAGCTTAATTAATTTAAATAATAATAAGTTTTAAATAAAATTTGTAAGTATTATGTTAATTAATAAATTCATAATTAAATATTAGACTAAAATTTTTTTAAATTTAACTATTATATTAATTTGGTTTCAATTAATATTTCAATTTTAATATGGTTTCATAAAATTCTAAAATAATTCTAGATCGAAAGTCAAATTATAAGTAATCTACATAGTAATATTTATATTCATATAATATTTTTCAATGTTATTTGTAAAAGTTTTTTTTATAAACTAATATTTATCGTTAATTGTATTAGCAGTTTGGGATTCCAAAGTTCAAGAAAGGAAAATGAATTTTAAAAATGATCATAAGGCGTTTTACAAAAAAAAAATACCTTCAATTTTTTATAAGGGAATATTTAAGGCATTTTTTGAAAAAAAAACACTTTGTATAATCTCAAAAAAAAATATTGGGATTATTGAAGGCATTTTTGACAGAAAATGTCTTGTATAACCTTTTCTAAATGAATAATTCATGGATTATTGAAGGCGTTTTTTACCAAAAAAACTTTGAATAATCTATGAATTATTCAAGGTATTTTTGCCCAAAAACACATTCAATAACCCCATTCAATATTTTGTAAGGGATTATTCAAGGCGTTTTCTCACAAAAACATCTTGAATAATCCCAAAAAAATGAGAAGGGATTATTGAAGGCATTTTTAGCTAAAAAAAACCTTTAATAATCCTATCTAAAAAATTGGAGAGGATTATTCAAAACCCTATTCAATTTTTTGTAGAAGATTATTTAAGGTATTTTTCATGCAAAAATGCCTTGAATAATTACCTCATAAAAATTGAAGGGGATTATTCAAGGTGTTTTTGGCCACAAATGCGTTGAATAACCATATGCCAAGATTTTTTAAAGATTATTCAAAGGGTTTTACTAGCCAAAAATGTTTTGAATAATCCCCATTACTTAAAAATTGGATTATTTAAGTTACCATCATATATGCCAAGGAGATTATAGTAATTATTATGGATTTAATATATGTGGATTCCCATTAACTAAATGAGTGAATTTGAAAACGAGATGTCCTAAAAATGGAAGAAAACCTTGGGTATCGCATTTTCTCGAGGATCACACTTTCTTCTGAAATCTATGATTCCATGAACCAAACGTGCCCACGTCTTGGGCATAAATATTTTTCCATGTTATTTGCAAAAGTTTTTTTTATAAAATAATATTTTTATATAAAATATTCTCTAAAAAAGAATGATACATATGTAAGAGCTCCATGCAAAACCAATCCAATAAATGCTCAAAGAAAAGCTTGAAAAAGATTGGTCCTTATCCTCCGATGTCTTGGGCATGAAAACCTTTAAAAAAAATCTAAACTTATTAAAACAAAAGTAGTGAAAATTTTGTTCCCATCGTCCTTACCTTGCCTTCAGTCCTTACCTCATTTGAAGCTTATCTCATCTCACTCTCCCTTGCCCTTGATCTTTTTAACTTTGTAGCTAAAATCCTTATTTAAAATTTCAAGCTTTAAAACTTTGTTTTCATTCAAAAAATCCCTCATTTCTACATATTTTTACAATTTGCCTAGATTTTGTCTTTTTGCAATTGTGAGTTATTTCAAATATTCTCTATTTCCCTAAAACCCAAACCTAAATAACCCTATATTGATAACCCTATTTCACATCTGTAGCTTTCTTGTTTTTGTTTTAAGCTACTTTCCTTCTATCTTTTGTCTCTCTCTTACTTATTCAATTGAAATTGATCTTGTGATGGTAATAAGTTTGTCTTTTTTTTTTCTTTCCCATTCACAAGCCCCCATCTAAAGCAACATTGACTTAGTTGTATGTAGTTCTATAATAGCATCTTTAATTCTCATTCTATCACCAAGGATAATGTTTTTTTTTGTTTTTATTGATGGTTCCTTGAAGAGTCAAATGAGGAAGAAAAATCTAAAATTTCGATTGAATATAGAATCTATTATCTACTAACAAATATA